ATCAGCATTTTCCGCTCTACTGGAGTTCTAGCTCATTGTGACTTCTGACCTGCAAGGACCAACTTTTTGCAAGCCTGGACAAGAGAGATTGGAATGTAGATGAAGGGCAGGAGCCAGCAGGACCAGCGAGAATTGCTCAGGTTTAGTCAAGCTGGGTCCCAGCCTGTGGAACACCAGCTCTGCCTTTAGGTGCACAGGCAGCAAACCTCTCAAGATGCTTGTTTCAAAATGCCAAGTGTGCAAAATGAGGACTAAGGGTTGCAAAGAGCAGCTATGCAATATAGAGCAACTCTACATTACATGGTGATGGCCAAGACCAAGAGAAAGCACCAGGCTTGGGCAAGGGCTAGGGCAAGAGCTAATGCTCCAGAGAGGTGAAGCTATTCTAAAACACTCCAACACAGACAGTGAAGATTTTTTAGGGTAGGTGGACGTTTGGACTGTGTTATGTCTTTCATTTTATCTATGATGTATTTCTAAAAAAAAAGCTCAGCAACAAGTATCCTATACTGTTTCTCCCTCCTTGAAACTGCTTTATGTAAGCTATCTTTAATTAAAACAAGTTTTTTCATGTGTCCACAATTGATTCCTTAAAATATTAATAATTTTCCCTACATTGGGTATCAGAGCCATTACTTTTTCCTGTGTATCCTTTAACTATATTTAAATAATTCATTTATCCATTTTCCAGCCCTCAGGGAGATTTGGGGTTTCTTTTACACCATGTGATCCCATTTAAGACAGAAGATATTTTCTTCACCTAAAGTTATAGGATATTTTCTATCTTTCCAGTATTTACTAAGCATAAGAAACCAGTTAGCAAGCATTTTATTAAGACACAAATGTAGCATGGAAATACTTGTCTGGCTGTGTATAAATGCCCTTTCCACTGCTCATCAATCTTTCACTAATTAGAAAGACAAAAATATTTTAAAACCAATTAATGTCACTGAGAAACGTTCCAGTAATTCTCAAAATACAATGTAACCATGATAGATACATTTCAATTATTTCAAAGCATGCTCGAAGAGCACTGAGTAAGCATAAGGGAGAAGAAGGGGCTAAAAGCTGCACTGCTTGGCTGATGAATCTCTGACACAGGATGTGGATTAAGGTTTAAGTGAGACCAGCAGTTCACATTCTCCCTCAAAAAGCTCCTGAGTCACCTGATTAAAGTGCAACCTTGACAAATATGCACAGCGTTGTCTCTCACAGTTGGAATCACCAAAGAGGCTAAAAACAGCACCGTGCACTGCATAATCTCTAACCTCAGGGGACAACAAAAACAGAGAATTGCTGTGTCAATCTCATTTCCTTGTTAGGCTCATTATCATAAATGCGGGCCTTTGGTTTTGAATGCCATACTTCAATAAGATTTACCTATCAACAGCTGCTGAAATATTGAATTCCACAGTCATCTTTTCCTTTTGATGCTTTCCCTTTTGTTTCTTTATCCATAAACATGAGCAACTGAGCTAAGCTTAAATTAACTAGCCGGGGTTAAATGTTTAGGGCAGCAAATTATGGCTAGCCGGCTTGCAGAGTGGTTTAGATTACAGAGGAGAGTTGCCAATCTCAGCTCTCATCATGCACTCCAAATGTGCAGAGCAATATTGGCAGTTCATGGCCAAATCCTGCATGCTTTAGTTATCACAGGAGCACTGCTCCCATGAATAAGTGGAGCAAGATTTAGTCCCTGCTCGGAAGATAGAGATGAATCACACTTTTATTCTTTGAGTACCTCACAGTACCTTCAACACAGACATGTTCAGTGATTGATAGCCTGTGTCTAGATTGGGTATTTTTCTATATACTGACAAATATTCTCTTTGAGATGATTTCTAGGAGCAGAGGAGTATATACTGCAGCAATGTTGCGTTTCTTATTTTTCATGGTGCCCGTTGTCTTTGTTTTGATTAGGTTTTTTTCCGAGGGTCAGTTACTTCCCATCATTTTTCTGCTCAGAGTGCTCTGCAATAATCCTGTTACAGATCTCCAGCCCTTAGTGTCAGTAAAACAGTGAAAACTTGAATCAGTAAACAGGTAGGGAAAGACACAATCTTCTCTTCAGGGTCAAATCCCAAGTCATGGCACAGTCTAAGAGAAATGAAGGTGTTTGACTTTGTAAAAAAGAGCTGCTGGTATCAGCTAAGGCTTATTTTTTTTTTTTTTTAGTTGATCAAGGTAAATGCAATGTGTTAACTGTTTTCATCCAGTGTGCAACCAAACTGGGTCTGTAATTCAAAGTTAAATGTTTGGTGAATGGCTACATGCTGGGACCATAGGGGACCAGTGGGCTATGCCACAGAGAGCAGCCATGGAAAAGGGCAGCCCAAAACCACTCACAGCAGATACAGCAGCATCTTCCCGATTTTGGAGATCACCACTTCACCCACTCTGCTTCTTTGCCAGTCTAGGGCCACACTCCTCCACTCCAAAGGCATGTATGTAGTCCTCCTGCAAGAGTGCACACCTGTACAGAGCTCGGGAGCAAAAAGGTGTTTCCTTTGAAAAGGGCATTCCACAAAGGAAAAGGTGAGACCACCAGGGTTAAACACTTTTATATCACAGGAATGATCTGCAGGAACCCATCGGATTAGGCACTAAACAGTCTTTTGGCCATAACACCAGAGTCCCTCAAATGAAACTCAGGGGAAAGCATAAAAGGTAGCGAGACATCAACAGATTTTTTAGGTATATACATACCCAAAAGAATCACTGAGAGCAAACTAGAGGAAAAGTCAAGCTTTCCTAAAAGCAACTGAAGTGATATTTTGTTGGTGATGAGCACTGTCTAAAACCTCAGCAGAAAGAAAGTCAGTGCATATTCCATTTTCCTCCCAGATGAGGTCCCCACCTCATTTCAGTGGCTTTGAGCCCCATTAACTCCAAACCTGCTTTTCTCTTCCTGTCCATGGAGAGCCAGCATCTGTTCAGTGATCTGCCTGGACGCCAGTATAGAGGGCAGCTTGGAGAACATGACCTGTCACCCCTGGTTTTCTCTGTCAGTACGAGGCTCATGTTAGGCAAGGATTGCTTCTTCCACGAGGAGCTCAGGGGTACACATCTACATCACGGCGTGAGCTCTATGAATGTAGTTGACACCTGAGAAAATAATTTTGGGTTGTTTATTTGACTCTTTTAAGAGTCTAATACTAACTTTATACAATCTTAGTACTGACCTCCGATAGCTGCTGTGGCAGAGGCCAGCCAGACGAGACAAGGTAGAGGACATATTTAATTTCTGAGTGGGAACAGTTCCTCTCACATGTATTTCCAGTCTTTATTTGCATTACAGTACAATTTTTTTATTTTTAAAGCATAAGTGATCAGAATCAGGCAGTAAACAAAGAGACTTATGATTGATTTGACTTAGGTAAAACAGCGATTTCTATTACACTAGCCTTAGTACTTAGATGCTTTTGGCTGCTACAAAGAATCGATTTATTCTACTCGTCAAAAAAATTAAAACCAAAACCAGCCCAGCTCCTGGTACACCCTGCATGGAAAGAATGCCTGGCTTGTAGAACTTAACTCCACTTTTCTGCAGTAGATGGGCTGAAGATTGCAGGAGTTAATTACCATCAGCAGAGAAGGGTTGTTTAGTTTCATTCATTTCATTGCCAACGAGCCCAACTCTGACTAAATAAAAAAAGCTGAAATGGGAGAGCAATGACCACAATAAGTAGCCAAAACTCCACGTGATGACAGAGGAATGATTTCCCACTGCTGCCACTTAAATACAACTAAGGTGTTCTGCAATTTTACTTCCACAAGCCAGAGGGTTTATTGTAATCCTGATAAATTATAGCAACAGAAGCAAGCGAGAAGTGGGACAGAAGAAGGAAAATGGTAATGCAAAATATAAAATTGCTTAGCAGAAAAGAATGGAGAGAGCAAGCGAGCAGTTTGTTATCGTTTATTTTTCTTCAACATATCATTCGGTTTCAGCTGTCTCCCATCTCACCCAGATCTCCACCATTTCTCAGAAACGTCTCTCGATGGCATCTCATTCTCCTCCTGTCTTTCACCGTCGCTTCATTATTTCTTAACTGTCCCTGAAAGAGCCCGGGCAGGCGACAGGGGGAACGTGAGCGGGGGACGCGGGACCAGCCTGCGCCCCGCGCGTCCGCCGCATTTAAGCAGTTTGCAAAAAGCGGGCGGGGGACTTTGCAAATAATGTTAAATGTGATTAATCTCCCCGATTCCTGGAAATCTGACATGCATGAGTTACAGCGAAACCTCTTTTATTTCGCCATGAAATGCTTTTGCATAATGAGAAAGAAAATGTCCTCTGTGCCCTAATCAACTCTGACAGGTCCTGGACTCCCAAATACTTTTATTTATGGTATTATTTATTTCACCCCTAATAACCGGGGAGGCGGGCCCGCGGCTCGCTCCGCGCGAGGAGAGGAAGGGAAGGAAGGAGAGAGGGAGGCAGGGATGGCCGGCGGGCGCGGAGCCGAGGGGACACAAAGTTTTTGCGGCGGCCGTCGCTCGGCGGGGCGGGGCGGTCCCGCAGCCCGGGGCGGTCCCGCAGCCCGGGCCTCTTCGGGCCGGGCGGGGCCGGGAGGGCTCCGCGGCCGCTCGTCCCCCGGCCGGCAGCTCACCTGCCCCGCGGGGGGGAGCCGGGGGCGGTGGCGGCCCCGCCAGTGCCCGCCTCCCCGCCCCGCTGCCATTAGCAGAGATTACCCTAAACACTTGGCGGTCGCCGCCCGTCTCCCTCCAGGCATTGGCGCGGCCGCCTGTCAATCAGGCCGGCGCCCCGCCGCGCCGGGGCTCCGCCGTGCCACAGAGACGAGCCGCGGCGGCGGCAGACACAGCCCCGGAGCGGGGCCGCGCCGCGCCGGGGGAGGCGGCGGAGGATGGAGGAGGAGATGCAGCCGGCGGAGGAGGGGCCCAGCACCCCCAAAATCTACAAGCAGCGGGGTCCCTACAGCGTCCTGAAGACCTTCCCCGGGAAGCGGGCGGCGCTGGCCAAGCGCTATGAGAGACCCACCATGGTGGAGGTGCCCCGCGGGCGCGGAGCGGGGCAGCCCTTCCCGCACGCCGCCGAGCCGCTGCCCTACGCGCCGCACGGCCCCTTCCCCAACGGGCCCGCCCGCCCCGGCGCTGCCCCTGGCGCTGCCCAGGGCCACCCGCGCCCGCCGCCGCCGGCCCCGAGCTCCTCGGGCCGCTACGGCCCCTGCCCGGCCGTGGCGGGGGGCGGCGGCGCGGAGCTGAGCGCAGGTACCCGCAACTCCTCTCTCTCCTCCGCGCAACTTCGCGGGGCACTTTGCGGCAGGCGGGAGCGGGATGGGGCTGCGGGCTCCCCCCGCCGACACGCGCACCCCTCTCCGGGCGGCCGGCGAAGGGCGCGACGGCCGCGGGGTCGCCTCGCTCGGGGCTGGCTGCGGGCGGCTCCGGCCGGCGGGCGGCTCCGGCCGGCGGGCGGGCGGGCGGGCATCGCTGAAGTTGCCGCGGCGGGCGGGGCCGCTGCCCGGCCCGGGGCGGTGGGCAGGGGTCGCGGCGGCGGGGGCTGTGCCGGCAGCCGCGCAGGACTTGGCCGGGCAGCGGCCGCCGGCCGGTGCGCACCTGCGGGAGGGAGAAGAGGGAGGAGGGAAGAAGGAGCTGCTGCTGTTGCTGCTGCTGCCGCCGGCGGGGCCGGGGCGGACGGGGGGAGCCCCGGGCCGGGCGCTCCGCTCAGCTCCGCTCCGCCGGGGAGGGCGGCAGGCTGGGGCCGGCTACCGGAGGAGCTGCTGGTAATGGAGAGGCTGCTGATAGAGAGGTGGTGATTTTAACAGAAAGAAAATAGATCGGCTGCTTGCCTGCACCGTTTTCATAAGATGCAGTGACAAACAGGAGATCAAATTTTTTTTTTTTTTTTCTTTAAAGGTGTAAGATACCGAGATGCTGAACGCATATCTTTCCTCTAGTGATGGCTTGGAGTTAAAAACCACGTAGATCTTGATATGCAACCTAAATTTGGCATCAGGAAATGGGAAATTGCATCTTTAAGCAGAGTACAATCAAAAATGAATTACAATAAATCCTATATAATTGCATAGGTCATTCTCTTTAATGAGATTTTATTAACCTGACTGTCAAGCTTTTGAGTCAGGCAGATATTTTATCTTCTTCAACTGATAAAAGTGTCAGCTATAAACCACCATATAAATATTCATAAATCTACACATCTGTGGCAGCCTATCAGCATCATTCTTTTGGACATTAAAAGCATTCTAATTACTTTCTGTCTAGCAGAGCTGAAATGCTGCCTGTTATAGTATGTGCTTGGCAGGCATGATTGCTTTTGTTTGCCATCACAAATAGCAGCATCCTATTTTATATACTGATGGTCCAGAATATATTCAGGGTTTGACTGAACAGGATGAATATTATGAAGCACCATCTGGTTTTGATAACATCGGGTATATTAACTCATCTGTTAATTTTTGACACATCATTGATTTATTTATTTAGAAAAATTGGATCCTGTTTTGGTGTGTTGCTGTTTGCCTTTGTAACAAATGTGATGACATTTCCTTACTAAACAGGGAGATGCGCTACTTAATAGGATATATGGCTATGTTTTAACGCCTGTTTTTGCTCAGAAGTAGCCTTGTACTGGATGAATTTAGCTTGTCTTGTTACAAATAATTCAAATACTTTTCCAAAAAAGTTTAACACTTGAATAGATTAGCCAGAGAATTCACATCTCTGGGGCATGATCCATGGCAGAAGGTCATCTTTCTTCATGAAATTGCTTCTTATATGAAATGCCCAAATGGTGGTATTTAAGTATTCTTTGTGGCCCACAATCAAAATACTGATGATGAATGTGACACCTGCATTTCTTTACAGAAGCAGGTGATTACGCCATGGAAAACATTCAGCTGTCTGGTAGATGATATATGAGGCCATATTCACAGCAAAGCTCTCTGGGCCTTGATGAGCAGAAGTTTGGACTTTCTTTTTCCTGAGTAGATTGTGCTAACCACGCACTAGAGCAGGCTTCAGAGCTTGTCTTTGATTTAGTTCTATGCTAAAGAGACAGTGAAGGAACTGCCCTTCATGTACCAAAGTTCTTTGAAGTCCCTATCCCTTCAACTGCACATTCGGGCTTCACTTTAGGTTCCTACATCGGTCTCAATTTACCCTTTGCTCAGGTTTAAGTGCCAAGAGAAACAGAACAGGAGAAAACAAACTAGGAATTTGCTACAATGTGTGCAAGTGGTATTTTGCACAAGTTGTTGCCAGAGGCTGAGTTGTTACCAGAGGTGGCCCAGGAAGGGTAGGGGGACCCTGTGAAGACAGGCTGGGAAAGTAAGTCGGGTCTGTTCAGCCTGGATAAGAGAAGGCTGAGTGGAGACCTCACAGCAGCCTTCCAGTGTCTTAGGAGGGCCCACAAGGAAGCTGTAGAGGGACTCTTCGAGAGGAACTGAAGTGACAGAACAAAGAGTAATTGGTTCAAACTGAAAGATGGGATATTTAGGTTAGATATTCAGAAATTTTTTTTTACTGTGAAGCTGATGAGGCACTGGAACAGGTTGCCCAGAGAAGCTGTGGATGCCCCATCCCTGGCAGTGTTTAAGGCCAGGTTGGATGGGTCTTTGAGTAACCTGGTCTAGTGGAAGGTATCTCTGCCCACAGGTAGGGGCTTGGAACTAGATGAACTTTAAGGTCACTTTAAACCCAAAACATTCTGTAATTCTATAAAGCAATAGGCAAGGTTTAGATCTCCTGGGTATTTTAGTCCCAGAGGTAGGGATGCTTTGCTGAGCTATGTGCCCATCCTTCCTGCTTGGTGATGGAGTAACACCATGCACCTTGTTCTTGGGAGCTGTAGCACCACTAAGATGAGCAGGAAGCTAGTTGGGACCCCAGTGCTTTATGTATGTGAAGAAGTCCCATTGTCCAGAGGCTTGAAGTCCTCTTAACTGATGTGTGAGCCAATCTAATAGCACAGGCTGCCTCTAGGGAAGCAGAGTTGGGATTTTGCCCCTGGAGAGTGAGAGCATCTGCATGTTCTCCATGCACAGTGGCCCTGTACTTTGGCTGGCACCTGTGGGGTCTCTGGGCTCCCCACAGCAGCAAGGGGAACAGGCCCAGAACACCTCTTAGCCCGAGATTCATCTCAAGTGCTGGGTGTTGTAAGGAGGGACAGATCATCCCCTTAGTAGGTGTCCAGCTGCATGTGCATTCTCCACAAGGCACTCACCATCCATGATATGTACAGTTTTCCCACTTATTTTATCCGCAGCACTTGGCAGGTACTTGCTTGAATAAATGGTTGGAGTGCTGTAGGGCAGTTTTGTAGGGACACCCACTTCCTAAGTTCAGTTTCAGAGATACTCCTCTTTTTGCTGATAGCTTTTCACTTGTGCAGGCAACAGTGAGCAAACAGTTAGTAAAACACCACTCCTGGGATGCCTAACTCTGTGCCAGCAACTTAAACACTTAATGCAGATGATTCTTAAAGGCATGACATTTCTGGCCCCTTGGGAATCACAGCTCCAAGTTTGCTTTTCCAAGTGGGCACTTCAAATACAGTCATGACTAAAAATGCTTCCATATTTTTGTATACTTTTTCTAGTGGTCAGAAATCTTCCCAAGAGTAACCAGGTTTTCCCTCAGTTGCTGTCTAAGAGACCACTCTCACCTCCAGACTCCAGCAGAAGTGTAGGAAGAGGGACTAGGGAAAGGAGGAAAAGTAGGAATTCTCCACCCAGTGCCATGGTGAAGAAAAGTCTAGCTCAAGATCCCATCATGCAGGGAAAGACCCTGCATAAGAAATATCATCTTCCAATGAGAAATGTAAAACTGCCCTGCAACACAATCCTCTCTCCTCTAGAGGTTACTCTGACTGCTGTTGCTGCTATGGGCCACGTGGATGGATTAATTCAAACCACCAGCAGATACCCATTTTCTTCTGTAAAACATCAATTCTCTATTAATTTATCCAGATTATTTTACTGGTATGAAAACAATGTGTATCTCTGTCTTTGGTAGTATGGGCATTGACATAATCCATAATCCACCAAAGAAAGCCATTTTCCTTAGGAAAGAATGATGTAGACATTACAGTGCAGCTTAAAATTTAGGGTTGGCTTTCATGGAAAGCAGAGGAAGAAGAGCAGAGCTGGTAACACGTGTTAGCAGTGCCAAAAGCATGGCATATTTAAAATGACCAGTTAATAAAGCTCTGTTATGCCCGGACAGAAAAACAGTTTGTTCCGTGAACAGCAAAGGTAAAGATCAGTGTTTTGACCTTACCTTAGAATGTGAAGCCCTCATCTGGAAGTAGATCTCACAGGTGAGTGCTGAAATGGCCAGACACTTGTAATCTTAATCCATCTTGACTGTCTCAATGATCTTCATACAAAATTCCCAAGAAAACGTGGCATAGTCATAGGAGGTGTCAAATGCTCTCAATTTTGTGACCTAAGCACAGATATTTACAACAGTGGTCATGTCTAAAAATATAATAACTAAGTCTGTATGCTTGGATAAAGGCCAGTTTGAGGGGTACAAGACTGCTGCCCTAGGATCTCAATTAATAAAGATATTATAATAAACAAATCAAGAAATACAAATAATCAGGTGAGAAGGCTGAGTCACTGCAAGGTGAAGAGCGAGATGATTGAAATTGCTAAGGAACCTGAACGTCACAATCTTGCTGAAAATTAAATACCAATGAATACATTCCCTGCAGGGGAGAATGTATGGTATTCAGACCCACTCAATACTTATAAAGATGACTTTTTAAACCAGCTGCCCAAGAATACAAAGGGAACTATGGAAAAGCCACAACCTGAATCCAGAGCCACTGAGACCCAACACAATGCTTATTAATAAAGCTGTCTGATCTAAGTATTGAAAAGATCCTTAGGTTTGGGAAAAGCTGGAGTTATACCTGCCAAATTTTCCAGACATCTTATCTAATGCATTAGTGTAAGTTATCAGATTCAGTTTCAGACGTTTGCTCATACTAAACCCTGTTTTCAGTCTGGCAGTTGAATAGCTAAGAACCTCCCATAGTCCAGCATCAATGAGAAAAAGATGTAAAGATGAATGCTGTGTCTGGGAGCTGGTACCTGATTTGCCATATGATAGTATCTTCTGGTTGCTTGCAGTCTCAAGCAATCTAGTTAGGAATAGTTATGCTTTTAGCAATTTAATGCTGTTCTCTTAGCACTTTATGGGTCTTTTCCAGCAAGTCCACCTCCAGGCAAACGTCTAGTTAAAGTCAATAGAAGTTCTGTAAGACTAAAGACTCTGGGGTCTGAGACATTAGAATTACATGGTTGGTGAGCAAGGTAATAAGGAAAAGGAATATCACAATAAGACTTTAATAAACTGCTTACACTGTTTTAGTCCAGTGCAGTGATTTCAGTAGAATCCTACTTTCATAGAAAATACATACATTATTTTAAATCAATTAAGAATCATAGATTGGTGTTTATTCAGTAGTAATCACATAAAAACAACTTTTTGTCGTTTCTTAAGTGATTAGACATTGCACAGTGCTTGCATTTCTAATTATAGTCAGTCTGTAAAAGCTGAAATCCCAATTTCTACAATATATGCTAAATGTATGCAACATTTTCTTTTTTTCTCCATCATAAGAAATGACTGTAGTTATCATTCTCATTTAGGGTTGTTCAGACTGTGGGTGTGTACACCATTACTGGTGTAGAAGTCTCTTCAAAGCAGAACCTACTTCAGCACAGAGAGAGATATATCTAGAATATGTGCTGAGAGCATCTCTCACTATTGCTGTCCAGCAGCACCCAGAAAAAAAAGCATTTGTGCATCTCTGGGTTAGCCTTTCAAAGCTCATTTTATATCTTTATATCTTTGAGTATGGATTGAAGTTAAGAAAAAAAACAGTAATTGCTGCTATTGTGTCTTTGTAGTAGATCTGATGCTGAAAATTAAATCAATAATGTCATTTCTGTATAAAATTTCAGTTACATTTTAAACCATTATCATAGTGAATGTGCCTAATGCATTAAATTTTAAAACTAATAATTAATTTAATCTTTACTGATATTAATGTGTATTTTGATATTCTTCAAAACTAGTAATTTGAATGTCAGGTTACTTTTTGCTGTTTTTAAAATAAACCATAATGTTAGAGTAACATCCCTTACAAGAGTCTAATCCCTTTTCAGTTGTTTCATTCATATCTTGTCCCCATGCAACAAGGATATGCAAAGAATACGTAACTGTTTTGTGAACAGGGACAATAATGATTAAAATACAAACAGTATAGATGACTTCAGGTCTGGAATCAGATTATAGGATTAAAATGAATGAAAAAACCATTCCGTCGTAGGATTGCAAAGTTACAGTCAATATCATCCTGTAATAATTTTAAAGGGGAAATGTGAAAAGAAGGCAAAGGAAGCACATCTTGGGTTGTTAGTTATGCTTGAATTTCCTGATTTCCTTTTGGTTTATCAGGTCTAACTGGAAAGCTGCCATGTCACCAAGATTCTGTTCTTTTAATTCATATTACATCTGCTGTGTTGTTTTGCAGTTGCATTGAATGTAAGGATTAAAGACAGCTGGCCTTAGGTTAGTGTAGAAAAAGAGAAGGAGAGGCAGTGGGTAATGGATGCTACAGAGCACCTGGCACTTTGCAAAGGGGGCAGCAGTGCCTGTGCATTTCTGCCCTTTGGAGTTCGTCATGTGGACAGAGAGTATTGCATAATGCTTTGGATCAAAGATGTGTTGTAGAAATCTGCCCTCCTTAGTCTGAACTTGCCTACAGGAGTGTGATATGGTTCATAAACACAGGAGGCTGATGGTGAGGATGCTTGAAGCAGTCTTAGGGCCACTCCAGTCCTTCCCATGGGCAATCCCTGCATGGCCCCAGGCAGCCTCATGACCCAGCACTTGGGCTGGGGCTTGCTCTGCACACCTCAGGTTCCTGGTTTTTCAGTTAAGTCCTCAGGAGATCCTTGGGTTTTGTGCCAGGGAGGTCTCCTCTGGCTGCATTGAGACTGAAAGTATTTGTATGCTGCTTCAGCCCTGCCCTCTTTGCAGAGATATGGAGGATGGTACAAATGCAAATGGGTGTTGTTTCAAATATTCTTCAGGCCAGCTGTACTGACCTCAGTGTAAAGTAGATTTTCCACCAGACGGTGTATCTTCTGGATCTTGAAGAAGTGCTGTGAAAAGTGTCACCTCTTAAAGGCCTGAATTCTGAACATTCCCATTCTTTATGTATTATGAGTGTGATGAGGCTACTGATGAAGCTACAGTAAATGAAGGTCTGGGGTGCTTAGTCTCATGTATCTGTAGCAGGTTGCCTTTTCAAAAGTAAATGCGTTTGTCACTTTCTAAAAGTCAAGCCTGCCTGAGAAGTGCTCTCCAAAATTGGCAGCGCTTTAACCCACCAGTCTTTTTTTCTTATGCAAAATGTTAGTTACATCTGTTTAGATACCTAGAGGAACTTAGCTTTGAACAAGGTAAAAAAAAATTAAAAGGCAGTATTTTTACTGGGGAGCCTAACAGGTCGTATCATAAATATTTTGGTCATTTTCTTTCTGGGTCCAGGAAGTATTACAGCAGCTTGAGCTATACATGTAGACATTGCAGAAATGAGCCATCCTACTCTGTAGGTTTAGCTTGTAGCTGCTATTGCTCCCTGAGACATGACACCTCCTGTCATGAGAGGCAGAGCTGACTAGGTGCAGCATGGCATCCTTCTCCTACTTCCAGAGCTGAGCTGCTGTCTCGAGAAGCTGCTGCACAACCCTATGTAGAGTTTCCTGATTGTATGCAGAGCATCTCGGAGAACTCTGCTCTCCACTGTGCCATAGTAGCCTGCCCACAAACCTGTAGGATGCCTTTGCCTGATTTAAGAAGAGGGGTTTGTGCTTATCACTCTGAGTAGTTCCTGGACATACCTGGAACCTAGAGCAACAGGAACAAAAACAAAGTCCCTAGAATTTAGGGTCAGTTGTGTGGAATGTCCTGTGCCCAATGTCAAACAAGTGCATCAAAGACAAAAAGGAGAAAAAACAAAGCTTGAAAGGCTTGTTGGAGAGGAGCTGGGTGGGCATAGGACAAAAGTATGGTGCAAAGTCCTACAAATATGTACAGCTAACAGCTTGAAATAGGCTTTCAGGGCAGTACTTACTTGAACTTGTAACAAATAGGATGTAATTTGTATTTTCTTCCCCATTTTCCTGACTTAATCCCTCTGAAAGAAGATGTCAGTAAGCAGTGTCTATCATCACAATGCATTTCTGATTAACAGCAAGGGCACAAGGGCACTCTCAAAATAGAAACAGAGTCAGGATTGTTTTAAATCACAGTGTTGCAGAAGTATTAAAGCAGAAGCCATAATTTTAATGTGTTCAGAAATAAAATGCGTGCTACTGTAAACAGTTGTGTACATTCATCTAGCTGCTACTGCCTGCCATAACCTTTTTGCTTTAGGTTTCTGTGATTCATCTTTTCTTTTGTTGCAGAGAGTCGAATGATTCTGGATGCCTTTGCTCAACAATGCAGCCGGGTTCTAAGTCTCTTAAATTGTGGTGGAAAACTACTGGACAACAATCACTCTCAGTCCATGATTTCTTGTATAAAGCAGGAAAACCCAAATTATAGTGAAAGACAAGAGCAATGTCAGCTCGGGAAAATGGTCCATAGTCAGACATCAGACATTTTAGACATAGAGATGCAGTATATGCAAAAGAAACAACAAACCTCAGCCTTTCTGAGAGTTTTTACTGATTCCCTTCAGAACTATTTGCTTTCTGGGAGCTTTCCTTCTCAGAACACCTCATCAATAAATGATTTTAGCCATTTGGCAGATGTGGATCCACTTTCAGCCTCTCCAGTACACACTTTAGGTGGATGGACATCTCCAGCAACATCGGAATCTCATGGTCATCCATCATCTTCTACACTTCCAGAGGAGGAAGAGGAGGAAGAGGAGGAAGGTTACTGCCCTCGGTGTCAAGAGCTAGAGCAGGAGGTAATTTCATTGCAACAAGAAAATGAAGAGCTTCGTAGAAAGTTGGAGAGCATTCCAGGTAAATATTGTCCTGCCATGTAATGTTGCCATTCAGTGATAAAAATAGTGTGGGTAATAGTTTATTTCAAGTTCTATTTCAAGTTTAAGTCATAGTAATCAAACATAGGAATTTGTCTCCAGCCAAAATTCCTATAGATGTGGCCAGTGGAAAATTACTGATACTCATCTCTATGAACATTGAGTCGTGCACTAGCAATGTGTGTTCAGGTGGAGATGTACTTGTGTACTTGTAATTCCAAATTCCAAATATCAGGTTGTTTGTCATAGTAATTTCAAACATATGCTTTCATAACTCTTTATCTGTCTTGTTCTTTAAGTGACATTGCAGCTTATAAACCTAATTCTCTTTTGGACCTCCTTCTTTTCAGTTTCTTAAGGAAACTGAAATAATTTTGACTTCTACCTTGAACAGTTTCTCTTAAATTGTTGCTAGCTTAGTGAGAAGCATTAATATATCTCCTTCCAATTCATCTTCAAATGAATCTGAAAAAAACACCAAAAACCCAAACAAACAAACAAAAACTTTTCCAGTTCAGCAATACCTAGAAGCCACTGGGAGAGAGAAAGAAAGCAAATAGAAACCTCTTCTGTGAAAAGCTTCTCTTGCTCTTTAAACTAGGACTTCTCACTGTTCAGGTGAGCCAAGATACTTGAAGAGTGGTATGGGATAAGAACAAAGTATCTTGGACCTGTATTTTCTAAACTTTCAGCACAGGCAAAAATACACCTCAAATAGTAATACTAAAAGAAAATTGGAATTTAGGAAAGAAAGAAGCATACAATATGCTTTTGACATGTATAAACACTAGGGAATCGCACCTTTTTTACCTGAATTCGAGGTGCTTAGGGTAGATCCATGAAAAGTTAATTGAACTGATCTCTGAATGGCAGAAAAGCAGGTATAGTACTGCATGAGCTGCAAGAGAAAAAATACTTCAAAGGTGCTAACTATGAAGAAAGGAAGAAGGCAGTAACCGACTACTGCCCATCATGTAGAGGCAGTTGCAAAATCTGAGCAAAATGCTAGCAGTGGTCTTCATAATTCTTCTCCCCAGCTATCAAGGATGTACTGTGCATTCTTTATATCACATCATGTTTTTCTCTTGTGCATTGGTCCATAGTGATAGTGGCAAATCCCATAAGCAGCATTGTTCAGTGCAAAGAAGACCCAAAATTTAGAGTAACTCCCTCACCCCTCCCAAAAATATAGAGTTACCATAAGCCATGCACTCTCACTGGTTGCAGCAGTGGTTAGTACATCCTCTGGTACTGTGTGACAAAGGGAATTGTGTGGACTTCAACTCCTCTTGAGTCCTACCTTCAGGTGTGTAAGACCAGAAATGTTCCTGTAGGGTCTGTAATCTGACTGACAGCTTTCATTCAGTACTGAACACAGTAACTTTTTGACTTTCACTAGTGCATAACTTGTATTTGACTCAAGTAGTATTTCAGGCCTCCAGTCTCTGGTGAGCAGTGGCTATATCTTTTATTTGGCACTCAGTTCCAGTGCTTAATTACTGGTGAAAATATGTGCCTTGTTCCCTGCCTGACTACCTGAAATCAGCTTTTAGCCATTGACTTTTATGCTTTGCTCCACTAAGTGAAGTGCTCTATAGGTCTTGGTACTTCTTCTGATTGAAGGTACTTAGAGACTGAAAGCTGAGTTAATTTCCATTTTAAATAAACGAAGCAAACAGTACTGTTTGAAACTCCTCAAAGTACTTGAATCCTTCTTTGCAGTGTTTTTTCTCCCCTTCTGCTAACTTCTTTAAAATCTAGGCACTGGAAATGCATGCAATATGTTCCTATGAGCCTGATCAAAGGTGAATAGACTCTTCTCTTGCACCCATGGTTGCCCTGGTGGGTTGTGCAGCTGAGCTTCTCATTCTGTGCACATTTCTTCTAGAAGTACACACTTTGTATTTGTCTGTGTTCATGTACTAAGTGTTCCAGATTGCTCTGTCCCACTTTCCCACTGTTTGCTGATTTGTCAACTTCCATATCATCCAGAATTTTTCTAATTGTTTTTAAATTAACTTTGTGGTACTGGTTAGAAATGTTGAATAGTATTGAAGGTGTTGTTAGTCCTTGTTGGGCCTCTCTAGAAACACATCTATTAATGGTGATTCCTGCAGTGACAAATATTTGACATGTCAGTGGCAGGTTCCTAACATGTATATGGTCCTGTCTGCTGGTGTTGAGTGTTGCTACTTTTTCAATCAGCTAAGTCATGGTAGTTATGTGCCCTTCAGGAGTCTAAGCATCTTATATGGTTCAGCCCAATTTTTTCAAGCAAATCTATATGCTTATCAAAGAATGACAATCAGGTTAGTCTGGCAATATCTACTTTCCATAAGACCATTTTGACTGGTATTAATTATATTCTTTATTTCTTTGTCATTTGAATGCCGTTGTGATTGCCTGTATTTTGCTAGGATTAATGCTGGCTTAAGCAGCAAGTATGTACCTGGGTCATCATACTTACCCTTCATCTCCCTTTAAAAGTGATAAACATGCCTAATCATAGTCATATTACACTCCCCAGGAGTCATGAAACTCCTTGTTAACAGTGTACCAAAGGAAGCTGACAAACATAAAAAATGTGCAAGGAGGTGGGACTTCATCTGCCAACATAAAATCATCATCACATACATCTGCTGCTTTCTGGTGACATATCCAAGTAGATCTGAAGTGACCCATGTGTTTGAAGAAGTGTTAAGAGCCACAGAAGCTCCCTCAGATTTTGCTACATGGTAGGACAGAGATCCTCAGGCAGTCACACAGCCACCACTGAGCAAAGTTAATCAAAAATCAGCTAAAGGCAATGTCTAATTAGTTTTGTCTCTAGTGTTCATTTTGCTCCCGTGAGCTTCTACTACTGAAAAAGCTAGCAGAAATTTTTCTGTGACTTGAGAAATGCCCAGCTCTGCATGTAAACAGGAGCTTGTTCTCTGTGCCTTTTTTTTTTTTATTTTTGCCCATCAAGATGTTGCATGCCTCAGGAGGGAGACAGAAAGCCCTCTGCAGTGTCAGTGTTGCCTGCCACCATCCATCACATCAGAGTAGTCTCAGAGCACAAACTTTCTTCCCTGCACATTCATCCACCTCATGCAGCCAGGGAAGGCAATGAGCGTGGTGAAAGGCAGCCAAGGCAGCAGCTAGAGGGGAGTGAAGGTTGCCATACTGTCTCCACTGAGCCACTGAAAAAGCAGGATTTGTTTCACGTAGAGGTTTCTCTTGTCATCCTTGGGGCAGCTATTCCAGAGCTGCTGGATGAGGCTGGCAGGGGACCCCATGGGACAGTGGCAGTGTGCACCCTGCCCTCCCCACAGTCCCCAAGGTTCCCACTAGCAACTCTACCAGCAGAATATGAAAGCACCAACCCCTCCCTTCTGCTGTATAATATGAATCATTTTATCCTTCTCCTGAAATACTTTGCATTTCTTTTTTTTTACTTTCCATATGCAAAAGCCCTTTTAAAATCCATGAGAGTTTGCAATCTAAAAATAGTTGCTGCTATACATCTCTGCCTCTAGCTTTGCAAAGCAAGGCTCACAAAGAGACTACCACGAAAAAGAGTGTTTTCTCTGCAGATGTAAAGGCAATGACACTTTTTTCTTTTTTAACAAATATTACAGAAGACGTATCTTCCTGTAGTTTTTTGGACACAGAAAATAAGATTTTTCAGTTTTCAGGACTCAGCCCTGTTGCTGTAGAAGCCCTGCAGTTCTGTAGGATCTTTTTGGCCTAGCATCACTCTTTGGCAGATCACCACTGAAGAGAAACGATTACATGGATAAAATATCCCATATATTTTGGTTGCTGGATGGGTAGATGTTTTTTTTCCTTTGATTTGACTGAAACAAGACTTAAATTTGTGTGAAATCGTAATTGTTTCAGCTGTAGAATAAATGAAGAAAAACTCGTTTATCAGTGCTTGGGGTTTAAAGCAGTGCAACTTCTTTCAACTTGTCCGATTTCCCCAATTTATTTTTTTTTAGGGCAAAATATTAACCAAACATTTTTTAGTTTCTAATTCAACTGAACAGAAGAGAAACGTTTTCATTCAGCATGTTATCTTGTCTTCTTTTGAAAAATAATTAAAGTTTAGGTAATTCCTGGAAGGAGTTTGGCGAACTTATCGTTAGCTCTTTAAGGTTTTGGGAGCATTAAGAACAAAACAAAGTAATCCATCCACATGAGAAGAAAAGTGTCTCCTAGTTTCTTACCTCTGTATAGAGATTACTGTGGCTGTGATACTTTCCCAGTAGTGAATTTAAAGAATATTTGTGGAGCTGCATACAAGATGTGGATTTTAACCATGAGGATATTAAACAGTTCTTCATTATTATCAGCATAATTTTCTCACCCTTTTTTACCTGAAAGGGAGAAAATATTTCCAGATGATTAAAGCAAAAGTGTATAATCATGAGTTAAGGTTTGCCTCATGGTGCTTCCAACTTTGCTGTGTGGTTTTGGATAAACCAGTCTGAAAGTAGTGAAAAGATATAAATTAGTAAGTAAATGAAGCAGTGTGTGATAAGGACAATGGTTATTCTTGCTTTGTTAGCCCAGCAGCAAAAAATACTCCAGCAAATAGCAGAGGGATGGGGAAGGAAAACCCCCTCAAATGTTGAGTCCAGGTCACCCATAGAGACTGCATTCATGGTGGCTGGAAGTAGCCAAAGTGGGATTTGCAGGTAGAGTTAATATCAATGTAATTGAAAAAGTCAGACAAGTTTTCCAGGAGGTTTTGTATGCCCAAGGCTTCACTCTTCTTCCTGACTATTGGATGATCTAATAAAAGATATTACTTTTCCCTACAAATCCTGTTTCCTTTATACTTTCAGAGCCTCATGTTTCCAAAGAGCCTACCACAGCCACAGTACAGATAAAGCAGCCATCAAGGGTTATGATGAACACTTTTTCATGTCCTTTTTTTTTGTCCTTTTTCTTGATGTTCACATTTAACCACTTCTTTGGTTTCCCTTGATGTTC